TCTTTGGAACTTTGTCATGCCAGGTGATGCCACGAATACATCGGAGACAGCACATATGAAAGGTGTTCAACTTTCTCTTCTGCCGTGCATAAGGGGTCCAAGACTCCCTGCAGCACAAGAGTGTATAGACCTGGATCTTTGTATCTTCCATTCGTTTCTTACTAAGCCATACTCTCTTTGTAAGGTAGGAAATTATCTTATCATAAAGAAAAATTAGTTTATGGGAAGAGGAAGACTTGTGATTTATAGCCCACAGGATCCCACCCATGAAGATAATGGGGCAAACATGCATTTTCAAAAGATCTCAAAGCTGATCTTTGAGATTTAAATCCTCCTTAAAAGTTAGACTGGTGTGATATTTTTTTCTCATCTTGACAATTGCTTTCAATATCATAGAACATCATTTTTCTCTTCTGGGTTATTTTCAGATATACAAGGAAATATTAATATCGTACTGCAGAACTAAAAAAAACCTCATATCTGTCATGTCTCATTTACTCAGAGCAAAGTCATTTGGTGTTATTGTTTTTGTCTTGATGCCCTTCTACCTGCACTATATAAGAACTAGGCCAGAGCCTTACTGTAAAGGACTGGTGCATCTCCTGATATTTTCAACAAATTAGGTGTTATATGTGGATGAAAAACAGATCCTATGGGACAGCCAAATAAGCAAAATATCTTGCATTATAAAACAACAACTAGCTTAAAATATTGGAGGGACACAGTCATCAAACTGTGTAATGAAAATAATTCCTTTGTCGATTCTTTGACAAAATATTATTCCTGCTTCTGTGAAAATAAATTGTTATTATAGTCATAGACCAGCATATTGCTTCCTTATCATTGCTCAAAAGCAAAAACAAATAATTGAATTAGAAAGCAGAAGCTCCATGAAGATGGAATGACAACTGAGTAAGAATTTGTTTTTTATAGAATTTGCTTTTAATATAAGGAGAACAAATATTTATCTGAACTGTAAAAGTTACGTGGAAACTAAGTGAAAATAAGGATTGCAAACTGCTAACAGTGAGAAAAAGTTGGAGAAACTTTAAATACTGCAGCTAATTTTAGGGTTGACATGAGGTTTTAGGGGACCAATTCATGAGAAACTGAGAGCATTTCTGAAATGAATTGAAAGTCTTTTTGCTTGCACGAATTCAGGATTAGTTTGCAAAACCATTCAGAATTGCTAATGAAAAAGAAAGGCTTTCTCCTGAGTGCTGACATAGAAGAATAATGATTAGCCAAGCACTATCAAAAGGAAAAGTTGAGGCTTGGTCTTTGGAAATAGCCTACTTACACAATTAGCAATCAGCAAACAGAACAAAGCCATTCTTTCAAAAATTGAGATATTTACTTCTAGGGTTCATTATTTTGGAAAACATTCCTTTAAACTAGTTGCATGGATTACCTAGAGCAATTTGGAGACTTGCTTAGATGTTTTTATTCAAGAGAATTCAGATAGTAATCCCTGCTTTTTATTTCAAAGTACAGCAAAGGAATTCTGTTGCCTGCTATACTATGAAATACAAAGATGTCTATCCAGTTAAAATGTTTCAAAACATTCTTTTAGAAAACTCCTTTATGTTCCTGGGCAATCCCCAATAAGATTTTATGTGTAATGGTGTTTTCTTCCAATAGTTATAACAACCCATTGCAATGTTCAGGTAATAATAACTGTCTTATGGTTGCCTCTAAAACATGTATGGACAAACATATACTGCAAAACGATTCCAAATCCATGTTAGTAGAAGATTGTACAAGTGTACAAACAAAAGATCCAGTGTAAGCTGTCATTTCCCCCCCCAAAAAGGAAAGAACACAATCTGAATTTTAACATAAGGAAGAAAAACATTATTATTATGTTGCTGCCAATCCATTGTCTTTATTTCTCCTCTCCTTTGTTAATATTCATGAGCAGAAATATCATTATCCCTTCAAAATTTAGGCTTAACAACATATGAAGAAATATAGATTTACACTTCATGGAGTGTAGCCTTTTTTAATGCCACCCAATTTTAAAACTTGGAGTAATGAAATATGTTCCCACTACCTATTGTAGCTTGTATCACACCCAGATGGAGAAAAATCTAATATTTTCCACCAGACCATGGTTTAATCTTGAAGTTTATCATTTTACATATGTCTATAATGTTATGCTTTTTGCTTTCACTTTTTTATACTTCTTTCCATTATACTTCAAGTTTTCCCTTTTTCCCCTATATACTAGAGCAATGAAGTTATAAAGGATTTATCCCTTTATGATCTTGTATTCTTGCATGCTTAAACTGATTGATTTCACATTCCTAACAAAGGAAAGTGAAGGCATTAGGGATCTCTAAAGAATACCCCCTTTACAACATTCGGATTCATGAAACTGCTAAATTAAATCCACTTTTCAAAAGAAAGAAATTAATTAGAACTGTGTTCTGAAAGTGAGCAAAATTATGGGGACTTTAGAAACCAAGGTTTAAAATAAATATATTTGGACAACTGCAGCACAAGTTTCTAAGAAATCTTTTATGCCACTTCCTTTAAAAGATTTAATTAATTAATAATAAATAATAGACAGCTTAAACCTTCATCCTTTTTTATTGAAAAGTTTGTAATTGCCATTTTTAAAGCTGTTCTTTGAAAGCCTTTGCAGTGATTTTGGTGAAAGCAGCATTCTCTCTGCACTTATAAAAACACAGTTCCAATGAAAAAGAGCTTCCACTCCGTGGTTCCTTGTGACCTTGGAGTGATCAGTCTTGGGGAGTTATTTACAGAATTACAGAGCTCCTTGAAGAAGATTCTGTAGACTCTCTAGATCTTCTTAGACTAACTGTGGGGACATGATCAAAGCGTAGATAATGACACATGATGTGGAGAAAGTGGATGGAAATGAAAGTTTCCTCTCTCAGAAGGCTAGGTCCAAAACGGTTCCTTAAAAGGTTTCGAATAGACCAAAGTGCTTCTTCATACAGTACACAATTAGTCAGTGAAATTAATTTCTGAAAGATGTCCTGACAGTCACCAACATAGAAGGGCTTGATAAATCCATCGATCTGGGAGTATTAGTTTTGAAACTCAATGTCACCAACAATGTCTAGTTGGGGGCAGCATGGCATTCCTGCTAGTTGCAGGAGAAGAATGGTAGCTTTCAGGGGTTAAAACACAAGCAATAAATAAACCAAGTTTGGTCCCACATAATGTGAACTCCCAGGCCTTTAAACTAGTCAGAAGCTTCCATGACCATAAAAGGCAACAGGATCAAAGATTGCTATGGAGCTTTAGGAAAAATCTTTTATAAGTAAGTGTTAAACCCCAACAGTTATCTATAAAATAAAGGCCATTTTATAACATTATACAGTATACATACACTGTATTTCCAGAGATGTGCAATGAAAAAGTTAAATGAAATGTATAACTCAAGATTAGAGTATATTTTGTTTATTGAACTACCGGAAGGGTTGAAATGGGCTAATTTGAGCTTTGTTCCCAGCCCTCGCCATGTGAATGGTGCCGTTGTGAGCCCAGCAATGAAGTTCACTGTGTTGTAGCAGATTGTGCCGTCCCTGAATGTGTCAACCCAGTCTATGAGCCAGAACAGTGTTGTCCAGTCTGCAAAAATGGTAAGCTTTCAATACATAAAAAGAAATATGTCGTCCGATTTTTAAAGGTTTTGACAACACTTAGAAACTTAGCTTCGTTAGGAAAAGCTATTATTTGTAGACTCACAAAGAGTATGTGAATGATGGGCAACCTTCTCCATTGGCATATGCACCAAAATATCTGGTAAGGTTTATGAAATTGGGGATTAGAAAACTAGATTTTGTAACTGTAATAGAGAGAAATCACTATTCACGACACAGGAAAGCTCTTGAAATTTAGCTGAGCCATCTTAAAGATTATGAAAATAAGATTTTTAAATTATTATTTTCCATAGCTAAAAAGCTATTTAGAATAAATAGTTGATAAAGGGTTGATAAGCATTCACAGGTTTATATCATAACTGGGTTAATCAAAATTAATATTTCATATGTCATTCCAATGATCTATATTCCAAATGTTGCAGTGACTCCAATTGACCTCGGCTACGTCCAGGGATATTCCCAGGAACCTGAAGGAGCACAACTGCTCCCCATTACTGCCCCTTGACATCTAGCAAGCATATTTAGGAAATTTGTGTTTCCAAGTGTTCTTAATCCTGTAATTAGCTTACCATCACAGCAGGAAAAAAGTCTGCATATTAGCGGAATGGGGAAACAGGGCTGCTTATGAAAATCCAGTGATGTGATCACTATTGCCGCTTGAAGCCATACCCCAAACGGGGCTTCATTATAAAAATTCCATCACATTTTGGCTTTGCTAAATGTCGTGTCACATAAGCTTAGAGCAAAGCAGCCCTGACAGAGCAGGCAGGCTAAGAACTTCAGGGATTTGGGACTTTCCTCGATGTTACGAAATCCAGTTGCATCTGTGCTAAGTAATCTCGTTAGTAAAAATCCTCTTCCTAAAAATATTTAAAACATATACTTATTTGCTCCTTAATTACAATAATTTAAATGATGATGATGATGGTGTATTAAAGATTTTTAAATTGGAACTGATGTTTGAATGCATCTCTAGTTCAACAATTGTTTTTCCATTCCAAAGAATCTCCATGACCCACAGACTCCGCAGTAAAATAGAATCAGCTAAAGATAATCTTCCATTTCTATAAGTACTTTACCTGAAGTATTTCTCTTAGAATTGTAGATTGTACATAGTGTCAGAAACATTATTTTATTTTATTATCAAATTTTGAAATCACCCACCTCCCTCACAGATGGGCTGTATAAATGAAATCACACAAGTGTGACTTCTAAGAGGGAAACAACTTTTTTACCTTAATACGTATTCAAATGTAAAGTACTTGGAGGTCTCCATAGGAAAACTGGCCCTTATTTTTCCTCTAATGTGTTTATATTCTGATGCTATATTCTCTGCCTGTGCGGATCCATTATTATATGAAGTAATATTTATAACGTACGTTACACAGATAAAACATTTTCAGTTGGAACCACAATTATACAGATAATATCTCCCATAGAGTGAAATGCATGAACAGTCTGGAAAAAGAGCATCCAACCCTTAATTCTACCAGGGCTCAAAGACCTTCCACGTCCCTCGGTCTAAATAATCCTGTCATCCATTTATATAATGTTCTCCAAAACCTAAGTTCAAACTTAACAGGGTAGCTACTGTGATTTTTAAAAAAAAGTTAATGTCACAAATGCCAGCGATGGTTGTCCATTGTTTTTTCTAAGCTACTCTAGGACAGTGTTTCTCAACCTTGGCAACTTGAAGATGTCTGGACTTCAACTCCCAGAATTCCCCAGCCAGCGAATGCTGGCTGGGGAATTCTGGGAGTTGAAGTCCAGACGTCTTCAAGTTGCCAAGGTTGAGAAACACTGCTCTAGGATATGGGCAAAATTGGGAAACAACTGAGTTACTTGTAGTATATTTTCTCTCATCCCAAGTGGAATAAATAGTATCATCCATGTTATTCTGATCCTTAACCTTCCATGGAATTTTAGTTGTGATTTGTTTCTAGTTTGCCACAAATGACAGTATTAAAGAAGATTGTTCAATTGTTGTGATCTAAAATACCACAGTGAGGCAGGGAGGGAGAAACACAGGGGTCTTTGCAGTGTGTGGTTAAAAACAATCAATAGTCACAGCAGTGCAATAGTGTGTGCCAAATTTTGTTAATAAATTGATTAAATTTCTGGTTGAGAACCCCAAAATCAACTTTGTAACATTTACAAAGAAACATTTATCATTTCTTTTCCTGACTTCCTCTCTTTGGGCCACAAAATAATTTTATCTCAGGGGCTGCCTTTGCCTTTGCAAATTACATCACATTCTGTTCCTAAACATATTTTCTAGGGATCCCACTTTCTTTAGTGCAGTATTTCCCAGCTTTTTTAGCAACTTCCCAGGTTTGTGGGCATCAACTGTCAGAATTCTCATCAATGACCGTATCGGCAGTGGAATTCTAGGATTTGAAGCTTACAAACCTGGGAAATTCCTGCACCTGGAATTCCCACTGAGAGGAAACATTGCAAGTCTAGTGAATTGTGTAGAAGTTTTGTTTCACACAAACCAGTGCTCTGTGCAAAGGAGCCTTTCAAATTAAAGTTGAAATAAAATGTTTCCATGTTGGATAAAAGGTTGAAATAAAACGTTTTCAGGATTCTACTTTGACTTTGTCTCCATGAGAAAGTTTACTGACTCAATGGGGAAAAATTTTTTCCTCCAGAGTGAGCGTTTCTTAGACTTGGCTGGCAGCATGAGAATTAAAATGAATTCTTGCAAAAAAAAAATCCTTAAAAGAATACAAATGTCAACATCACATGTTGTTCTATCCTGGATTAATGTAGCAGAAGAAAGCAAAAGAGCATCTAACAAATGCCTGAGACTGTGGCTCACTTTCTCTGATAGGTTTACAAGTTTAGGAAAGTTCCTTTTCAATAGGTATTTACCCTTGGGGTACAATTCACATTAGTAATCAGCAATCCAAATTGATACATGATTAATGAGTCAGAGAGACCGTATCATTTTAATTGCAATCTGATTAAAGAAATCTTTAGAGCAATATATTAAAAAGCACCATAGTTATTGGGACTTAGTCATTACTCAACAGCTTGTCCTGGTCCTTTCCAATATTAAAACGGGGTTTGCTATGTCTTAATCTAGAGTTTAAAACATTACGTCATAGTATATGTACGAGGAAGCAAACATGAAGATCTTCTTCAAAACTCTAAACTAAATTTTCTAATCACTAAAATCATCTTAAGAGCAGAATCTACCCTGGAGCCTCTTTCCTGTATTTGACATACAGTTCAGCATTAGACCAAAGGCCAATGCAAAATCCACTGTCTTTAGAGCACGACCATCATAAGTACACCCTGGAACTATTGAACGAAGGAGGGATTTCCTGATGGGGAGAACAATAAATCAGTGGGATGGTTTGCCTTCAGAAGTTGTGTCTGCTCCATCACTGGAGGCTTTTAAAGAAAGAGGCTGGGCAGCCATCTCTCTGAAATGGAAAAGGGTTTCCTGCTTGAGTAGGGGATTGGACTAGAACAGCGGTCACCAACCTTTCTGGCTTTGTGGACCAGCTGAGGGGAGAGGGGATGGTTCTGTGTGAGTGGCAGGCAAGTGTGACGTGCACGTATGCAAGTGACAGGCCTGCATGCCAGCCACTTGTGCAAATGGAGCATGCAGGCATGCACTTGACTGCTGCTGATGCAAATGTGGATGCATGTACACACTCACCCGCCAGTCCCACAGCCCAGTTTGAATGGCTCAAGAGCCGAGGGTGGACCACCACCCAAGGGGTAGGGACCTCTGGACTAGAAGACTCTCCAACGCTGTTCTTCTGTATTCTGAAGTCGGCATTTCTAGACAGCTCTTGTGTCTTTGGTTGGCCAGTAAAGTTCAAACTGGAAGTAAGAATGGCAGTTGTATTTGCATTTAATTCCCTGTTCTGTTTGCTTAAGGTGCCTGAGTTTGAACAGCTGCTCCTTTGTTCCAGAATATTTAATGTAATCTTCTTTTTAAATGAAAAGAAACAATTCTTTTCTATTCCCCAAGGTTTGTAACAGGAATTCCTAAATATTTTGCCATCCCAACTCCTTTTAGTGTAATATTAATGTACTGAAACCTTTTTTAAAAACCCAACATCAAAATATACACAAATGAAGAATGGAAGGGAAACTTTCAGGGAGAAATGTATTTATTGTGAAAATGTAAGTAAAAAGTGTTCATCCCTTCCAAGGTTCTGCCTGCACCGTCCCAAAGCAGATGCATCCCACAGGCTCCTCATCAGCTTATCTGGCCGATAGAGATCAGGATTGTTTTCCCATTATGATCTTAGCATTTTGCCAATTCTTTAGTGAGTTTTCCAGTTGGAGAATATGATTTAATCTAGTCAATTTCTCCTAATTCAAGAAATAAAAAAGGAAAGAAGCCTCACTTCCCCATCTGATTTAAATTTATAAAGGGAACGTGGGATTTTTCTGAGCAGCAACCCCGAGTAAACTAACAAACATTTATAACAATATTGGAAGACAAGATATTCAGCAGTGCACAGATGGTACAATTTCCCCAAAGATTCATTACAAAAACTATCAGGAAACAAATCTGACTTTTTAGAAGATAACAGTGAGGAAAAGGGACTGGAGCCTGTGTTGCGTGATTCATGAGTAATGCAGGCATCATACTGACAGGATATAAACATCCTTGAAGATCTGTCCCACATGAACTAAAATGCTGCTTAAGATTTATCTGCTCACTTGGATAAGGAACCCTCCTGAATTGTATAAGTTACTTGTTGTAAAGGCTCAGGGAACCTAGGTGGTTCCTTGTAAAAAAAATTAGATACAAGCTTTGCCTTCTGGTGGATAATCCTTGGATGCAGAATATTAGATTTCAAAAGAACAGTTGATAGGCGACTTTAAAGAAACAATAATAAAATCATTAAACATGAGAGAAAAACAATATAAAATCCAAATTCATTAGATTAACCAAAATTTTACAAAATTCACTGCAAGCTCCTGAATACCAGTGCTGTTGTTGTTTTGTC